CAATTGAGTGTTTTTTGGCAGAAGAATGGAAAGAAATCTAGGTGCTAGAGAGGGTAGGAATTTTCTAGCTCCTTGTGGAATAATTATTCTTCTGAGCTGAGGGCAAATTGATAATGGAAAGGAAAATAGCTAAACAGAACTGAATAACGTGTAATCCTTTATAAATAGATATTTATGGATTTCATTTTGACGTGCTGAAAATTGGTGGTGTAATTATATAAAAATCGGTTTACATTTATAAAGTATCTTCTTTAACAGTAGTTTCCACGTGGAAAAGTGGATGTAAAAGGTTAATTATTGTCTATTGATAGGTATTCTAGAGAAAGTACAGATTTCGTCAAGATCTGGATGCATTCAATTACAATCTATACAAACGTCTAAAAGCCGTCTCACCGGAGATTATTGATCGACGGGATCAGGGTTGCCAAGTCTCTCTCGCGATTTTCCCATCCAAAAAAACGACCGTTTTATTTGTTTTTGTTTATATCCGAATGAAAATACAGACAGATATTGCACGTGGGACCGGTTTATCAGGGTTGTCATGATTTATCGTGGTTGAGGATGGTTTGCTCAAACAACACCACTAAATGCACATGCCGTATAATTAAATTATCTTGACATCCTTACTCGTAAATTGGACATTAATGTAGTTCAGATCGGGGATAGTTACATGGAAACGTTCTAACTATTTCGCACGGTAACTACTACTTCTCACTTATTAAATTGACTCAAGAGTTAAGTAGATAACACATGAGATAAACAATGCAACCATTACTTTTAGACATAAATTGAAATTCTTTATTTGCTCACTTTTAAAAATAAATAATAATGAAACAAAAAATGTATTCATATGCATTAATTAATAATGAATTACATGTCAGTTAACCCGTTAGGTTTGTTATGATTATAATAATTATGACTGTTTTAAAATAACTAAACAACAATGAAATAACCGAGTAATATAACTTTTTTTATATTGAACATGTACTTGAGGAGTCATCCATTATGTTAAAAAATTTATAACAGTGGCAAAGATATACCTCTTTTCCCTGACAACTTTTAATGGCCAGAGCTGATTAAATTTTTAATATTTTCAAAAAATAATAAAAATTAATATAAATGTATAAATGAAATAACTATTTTTTAAATATATATTAATTTGGATTTGGATTTATATAGGTCCAAATCCGCACAGGTACGTACAAACATAAAAACATGTGCCGAGTTGGGCCTATTCGCTTCTCGTAGTCCTCCGGCATTTTCAGCTTTTGCTATTTACAATAAATTGCCGGCAGACTCGAGAATCACCGGAATGTTGGCAGTCCGGGAGCAGACCTCAATTTTATCCAACCAGCCTCCTAGGCAGGGCTCCAGGGGCTATCAACAGCTAGGTCAATTCAGCACTCAACGCATGCAGTTGTAAACCCATTCGTACTCACATTCATTCTTAAATACTTCACTCCTATTTACGTACTATTCATAATGTAGTATTCCTCCATCTCACTTAACACATATTATACAAATAGCCTAATTGAGGGTCGATGGGTACTCGATATTCCGCCATCGACCCTCTCATATCACACATTGACGCTAATAAATACATCCACTCTCAACGCAAACTAGATATACCCAACTATTATTACTATATGCAATAGACCAACCTCTTTCCTCCAAGAATCGGAACAGGGGATCCAGATACCCTATGCCGTGCTTGAACACTGATTCTCATTATATCATAAATCTCATCTGGTGGCAACCCTACACGCTCTTTATATATATCCAAGGAGTTGCACCTTTCAATTAGGTGGGACTATATATTAATTTAAGTAATGTTTTATTATTTATTTACGTATTTATTATTATTTATTAATTGTAATATATAATTTTTTGTCCATTGCAAGAAAACCGTCTGCGAAGATTAGCCGATAATCTGGGAACAATTCACGTGGGCTCGGAACACTTTTCCTCTAACCTCTACTTGTTTAAGCCAGTACTGAAATTTAAAAAATTCTCGGCCTCCTTATTATTAATAAATAAAGGATCTCTACCAGCACCGTATAATAATACAAAAGTGGGTCGAATTGGATATTCCTCAATAATAAAACGAGCATTATTCCCGTCTCGGACAGCATCAGTTTGCAAATGACGTTTTTCTTCTGAACCTATTATTCAAGTAATATTGAGAATTATTTTTTAAGAAATAACATAATATTGTTATTACAGTAGAAATAATAGAAATACATCTTACATGTACTGTACATGCATTACATTGCTGATTTATTAACAAGTGAACAGATTTTAAATAATTTATTGCGTCTACACAAGGCCTTTACTTTAAAAATAGATTTAGAGTTTACTGCTTTCATTGGTAGTGTCTGTTTTGGAAGGGTGAAAAGAAAATAGAATGGAGATATCTCCGTTTGAAAATAAAGGCAGAAAGGAGTAATATATACGAAAAGGGATAAAATAATAATAAGTGAAAGCGCTGCGATGGCGTTTTACATTGTTAAGCGCGCAGCGAATACATAACGGTCAGTCATTGCCCTCAGTTTTCTTCCTACGGACATTACTTAAGTATCAGGTGAGCTCGAAAATATTTTGCCATTTAATCTATCATATTCAAATGACCGATATCTTATTTAATGCATCGTTAATTAAGTTGTAACGTTGGGTCGACAAATTTGCGACATATTTGCTATTGAGGTGGAAAGTGGAACGGGTAAATGGCGAAACCTAGAGCCAGAACGATTCTCCCAACTGTTTTTACAAGGAGAGTTTACGCCCTTGGTATATGTTTATATGAATAATTCCTTACTTGTTATTTTATTGATTACCTCGATAAAACGAACAAATATTATATTTTCAGGGCTAATTGTGCAGTAATTTCAAATACTAAATCTTTAAAAAGAGAACTACTGGCTATTATAATCATCATGCAGAATAATTACGAACCAGTACAGCACGGTTTTGATATTAATCAATCAGGTATAAAAGAGAACGAAAAAGTACGTTTCAAAATATTATAAACCTCGACCACATCTCCTTTTTGAAATCAGATGGATTAAATAAATTACTTATCCTAGAAACACCCAATCCCAACCTTCCCCAATTTTTTTCCTGGTCTGATAAACGTAAAATGAGCAAACGCTTTTCCATTAAACACACCAACAGCGAGAATAAGCGGACCAGAAATTCAATTGTGATCGTACTGCTGTCTACAGTTCATCGACACGCAGACCACTAACTTGACGAGAACAAAACTCACGAAAACATTTTTTTGTCTTCACATCGAATATTTGATATACTTATTATAAATCCGATAATAAGTATGTCATTTTATTGATAAAATCAAAGTTATTTATTTTAATTATATTTTTTTTTCGTGTAGTATTGTGTACTAAGGAGCAACCAATTACCTTAATTTACATTATTATAACGTGCAAATCATTGGTATAATATCTAAAAAACAAGACTTTTGTAGCTAACAATGTATTTTTTGTAATAAATTAAATCAAAGAACGAATTCAAGTTTATAAAAGTACATTTTATCGGCAGAAATGTTTACTTAACGCTTGTAGGCAAACTAAGTTGAGAGTTAAGTGACCCTATCCGACTGGGTTCAGCATGAAAACTAACAAGGGGGACGACCAGGTGGTGGGTCACGGATTTGGACCAAATTTCTTTTGGTGATTCTACACATCAAAATATCCACCCGCCACTTCGTGTGAATAGGCCCTGGTTTCGCCAAAAAAATTTGGAAAGTTGAAATTTTCCGTTTTCTAATATTTTTATTTCGCCTCTCTACTTGCTCAAATCAGCTATGTAAATATATCATTTTTATGTAGCATTTTTTTATGTAGGTTGTAATAAAAATATAGTAATAATAATAATAATAATAAGTTTATCGCACCAACACATTAAAAATGTACAAACGATTCAAACAAGAAAATAAATTTAATTCGGCAAGGTAACCGTATTAATTATTAACTAAATCGTACAAAGTAAACATAAAAATGCATTAAGCTGCAATACAAGTATAGTAAAAGTATAAAACTTTATAAAAGTACTTTAAAAAAACGAGATTAATTTCTGACAAATAATTTTACGATTTTGTCCATTTTTTATAGAAATATTTTATACATTTTAATGGTACATTCTTTCAAATGAACTGTTTGGTTTAATCCTTTTAGCACTTTTTGAATTATAGCCGTCTCAATTAGATATTCCGATAAGTTCTTCTTAAAAATCGGAAAAATTTTAGGGGTCAAAAAATAGATAAATTTAAATTCAACCAAAACTTTAAATTTTGGGATCTCTAGAGGTGGTAAAACTAAATTTCATATTAGTATAACGAAAAAATTATGACCTAGTTTACCTGAAAAATATTTGGTTTTTAGAAATTTTTTGGTTGTTGATAAACTTTGATAGCTTTTACTGTATTTTTATTGCAATCTGTAAAATGATATATTCACATAGTTGATTTGAGCAAGAAAAACAGCGAAATGAAAATAATAAAAAACGGAAAACAAATTTTTAAAAAAAATGGCGAAACCAGAGCCTATTTACAAGAACATATGGATATTTTGGAGTGTAGAATCACTAAAACAAATTTGGTCCAAAACCGTGACTCACCAAACCTGGTCGGCCACTTGTAAGTTTATTTCGTTCATAAATAATTAATGAACGTAAGAAAAAAGTGAGATAAACTTGTGATAAAGTGCAGTGTTGTACTTGTAGTTAGCCGTTGCACATTGCACCACACTGAATGGAAAATTCGAATAATCCATGGTGTAAAGAATTGTTGCGTTGACAAATGCCAGGCACACACAAGTCACGCTTTTACCTACTAGGCATGGGAAAATGAAACTGTTTCATTCCTTTTGTCAGAACGCCTTAGTTTCCTTCCTCAACGTTCCATCACAATCACCTGATGCAATTTCAACCCCCTTTCGCAAACGTATTTTATAATGTTAATTAAACACTTTTTACCGGTTACTTACAATCTGACTTTCTTAGTGGGCAGTTGGGTTGATTTTTTCCTCAGTGCACTAGTCATTTCAACTGACATGTCAATTGTCGTAGAAAGAACTGGGGGAACTGAGAGTTATCAAGAAACGCCTACCATAAGAGTACAATCGGAAGATTATTTTTATAAGCAGAGGACGAATAATGATGTTTCTCTTACAAAATATACAATGAATACAAAACTAAATTGTTCTGTTTTGTCGTCACTCAATACAAATGGTTTGAATTTTTTTAATGGTTCATGCTACAATATTGCAATAATAATTTTACAACCAATAAAATTTTACGTTTACGTATTTTAAACCGGTCGGACTTACTTAAGTTATTTATTTCTAATTAAAGTGTTAGATATATCGACCACTTTTTTACTACCGAATCTGGGACTAGGTATGGTCTTGATGAAAAAACCAAATTAAATTATTACTGCCAAGCTTTTGATATATTTTAAGGTTATCATCAGGGCAAAACAGTCTTAAATATGTCTATAAATCGACATAATTAAGTTTTTAACAGATGGTTACAAATTTCAATATTGGTACAGCCCTTGGCAATGTTGGCACTGAGTAGGTCTTCAGAAAAATAATGCTAAACGATCATCACCCAAAATGCAAAATAACCCAATTTCAACACTGAAGATGGCGAAATGCCGTCGGACTGAAGAAAAATCACCGAGGATAGGCAGATTATAGGTAACTATCAAACTATCTGTTTATCACTCGGCAGAGTACAGGAAGAAATTTCACAATTTAACCTAGCTCAGTTATTACAGTATTAGTTACAAGAAATCACGCAAACTCAACACTGAAGATGGTAATTAAAAAACTATATAGGCAGACTAAGATGGTAACTATCAAACTACAAATATAATAATGTTCTGAAGTTATTTATATAAAATTATCAGTGAGTGAGTGAGTGTGCGTGTGTGTGTCTGTCCATCAAACACTACGTATTTAAAACGAGGTTATATCATCAAGCTGCCGAAATCACAAAAGGTTGGAACATACTTTGAATGGATTTAATTAAATTTAATAAACTTTATGAATTGCCATTTGAATAATTTAAAACTGTCGAATGAAAAGCCCAAATAAAAAGCACAAAATAAAAAAAGGCAAAAGCCAAAACATTTCAAGAAAAACTGCTCATTTACCTAGAGCAAACATCCTGCAATGTCAAAAATTAATATTTGAAACCATCTGTTAAAAACTTAATTATGTCAATTCGTAGACATAAAGACTGTCTGCCCTGATGAAGGCCTTGAAATAGGTCGAAAGCCTGGCAATAACAATTGAAATTGTTTTTTGATCAGGACTGAGATCCTATTCGTTATTTATTTAATGAAACTTCCGTTCATGTTCAGTTTATAAGAAGGATTTATCTATCTATTGATGGTGGGTGCTAACAAATTTGCATTAAGGTCAACTTAGCAGATGTATCTGCCTGGGGGCACAGCTCAAGCTACTCGATGACTCCTATATCACGCGTTAGAAACAAATTGCATTTATTAACGTTAGGGAAAAAAGTAAAGCGGAACGACATGGAAACTAACTCGAGCTAACTCGAGAGTTCAATAACGGTAGTCATTTGTGCTCTGTTAAACTGCTTAAGGAAATTTGTGATCAATTTAATTAATTTAAAGTTTTTACAGTTAGATAGAGGCGGAATAATAATAAAGGAAGCACAAAAAAAAATATATATATGTATATGTAACCTTACCAATTTACTACATTGGTGTTACCCAAACAATGTTGTTGTTTTGAAATATTGTATAGTTAATCTACTAATGTATAGTTATGCTAAAATGAAAATGACAAAAGACATGGTGAAAAAACTAGTCACTATGATCGAATTCACTCGAAGTTTTTTATTGAAAAGCCAGAAAAGGAAGGAAATGCATCGATATTCCCTCAATCTTTCTGTCCCACTTGTAGAGATAGGTTGCTTTTGTCTCACTTTCCCGAGCATTACCACGCTTGGCCCCTTACAAGGAAGGAGTAGGCATGTCACCGACACAGAGACAGTCCTTGGGGACGAGTGTGGGTTATCGGGTACTTGTTCCTATTTTTAAGGGAAACGTGGGTGTTTCTCCATATGTATCCCTGGGCATTTGGGACAAGAGGCAAGAAGATAGTGACATGTTAGCAAAAGAAGGGTCCAATATTAACTCTCTAGGCCCCGAACCCAATTGTTGTCTAACATCTTGCCACAAAAAAGGACACATCCAAAAATAGTTCTTAATGAATCCAAAGCCCGATGGAAAACATCCCATGCAAGGCAGGAGACATGCGAAGAGATTCATCGAAGGCCATACGAAGGAATTACTGGAAGAACAACGACAGAACCAGGATTTTGGTTGTACTCCTGACAGGGCCTAAGAAGGCACATGCACCGGATAAGAGTACAGCCAGTAAAACATTGTGAAGATACTGCCAGGAAGAAGAGAAGACATTTATGTTTTTGTGAAGGTCTTTGTAATTGCAGATTCATGTAACTAGAAGAGAAAAAGCCGCACGCAAGATCCTACGTAAGGAGCCGCTGACAAGGCTATGGAGGTTAACTAACAACCTGAAGCTGCCTTGTGAGTTATAAAAATAGAGGAGCACAATACATTTGTCGGTGGCCAAAAAAATATGATAATTACTGTATTAACTCTAACTCAAGCACAATTTTCATATCGGGTGGCAATCGTACACCCTCTCTTTATAGAGCCAAGGAGTTGCACCCTTCAATTAGGTGGGACACATAGAGCAACCTTTTTATACATGCCGTACACATGCGCACGCTTTGGCTCAAGATCCGGTGCACATATGCCAACCTCACATGGTCTATCCTTAATCGGGTGATGACCCTTCTTCTATGGGTCAGATCCTCCGAGGGCCTTAACACAAATCTCATCACAAACTTTTTTTAAATTTAAATAATATGTTTTGATAATTTAGAATACATAAATACATATATATTCTTATAACTATGTATATTTACACTTAACCAATTCGACGAAAGTATGGAGGATGACAGGCACACCCTTATCTGGTAATCGAGTTAGGTTTGAGCTAAGTTTAACCAAGTTTAAAGAGTTAAGTAGCCAGAAATCGGGTTTAACAGTCTCTTTTTCCATTCCCATACATTTAGAATTATTTCCTGTTTCTTCTTTTAGGCGTTTTCTTTTTCACTCGGTTCTTTGCGACCATACTGTTTTAATCTCATCAATTAATTCTAATAGGCAATGATATGTTAGCCTAGATTCTCTCGTCATGCTTCTGAATAAACCGGTCTGTCTTGAAATGCGGATATAAAATACCAAAACAGACAAATTCTATGTTATAAAGCAATGCGTGAAAATAGAAATTTTATTTTAAAAAAATAATTAATTCCTCTTCAAAACAGTTCAACTATTTTTTTTATAATAAACGAAATCAATAAATTTAAATTCAAAATATCACATCAATAGATAAATAGATTTGAAGACGCTAAAATTCCTAGTAAGTTTTAGAAAAAATAAATAGAAAATGCTTAAACAATCACCGCTGACATTTGCTGTAACGGGAGATCGGGTGATGACTCATTTTTAAACATCATCGAACCTCACCTTTCCTTTACTTCGTTTCATGTCTATTTCCATTTAATAAACAGAAAAGTAGATATTATTAAAATTTAAAAAATAAAAGCTTTAATGGAAATACCAACTATAGTCGGTATGTTTGTTTGAGAGGAGGCTTGGGAAATATAGTAATTACTAATAAGTAATATAATTATATCAACGCAAAATAAGAAACTAATTTCACAAACTAATCATAATTAAAGCATAGGATTGAGAAGAACAACTTACACTAAATTTAAAAAAAATATATCCATATTTTTAATAATATTCAATAAATTAAATAACTGCATGAAGGAAATATCTGATCTCAAAGGAGTCCATGCTTTACTAATTTTATAAGTAATTATTTTTACAATATAAGTTAATAAGGGGCAATTTTTATTATTGAGTTATAAACATACAAAAATCCACTATGGATTTATGTATGATAGGTAACTAGAGAACTTCTTCAACCGATTTTTTGACCATCGTGGCAAGTTCATTCATTATTTTACCTTAATCTATCGTCGAAGAAAAGACAAACAACACAAAAAGAAAGAGGAATTTATTTACTTTCAACTTACGTTTCATTAAAAATAAAAGCTAGCATATGTTTTTGTATTAACTCATTTTTAAGAGAAATTAGCATTATGTATTCAAAAGAATGCATTCATAGGTTCAATAATATCTTTGAGGCCTTGTAGTCCGTCCGTTCATGGTCATGCTGATGATGATGTGAAGTGAATCAAGTCTAGTGTCATTGAGAAATCTTGAGATATTGAATTTTCATGTAAATACATGTAATCATCAGGGCGTTTAGGTGTGGTTTACAATTTACTTGTCAGCTACATAAGCATCAAAAATTAAGAATATTTTCAAGTTTTTAACCGGAAAAAACGTAAAATGATTCATAATAAAATTGTATTTCTTTCTTACCTAACCATGCTAGGTTAGAGTGCCCCATGCACCTGAGGATGCAATTCCTTAGCAACGGGTTGAGAACAAACCGAATCGGACCATTATTTAACAATAAATGCCATTTAATCCAACTGTGCCACCACGCTGTAAACCGAACAGAACTGATTCCAGGCCAAAGGAGATCCCGGACGCTACTGTCTGTCCACCGGCTCTCCTCTCTTCGGCTGAGCTCCCCACTCTAAGCGATCGAGAGGAACTTACAAAATATTCTTTTTCGAAAGAGGTGGGTGCCACCGATGCAAGAGTTACGCCGAGTCAAGGCAAACTTGGGCCCATTTTGGGTTTGTAAAATTTCAAAAGTCCCCTTTAAAACAACATCAATAGACAAACAAGACCCTACCATCAGGAATAGTACATAGTTCCTTAATTTATTATGATAGATACGATGAGAAATATATCTTGATGTGATTGATATCAGCCGTTTCTATTTTTTTTTTTTTTAATCAAGGATAAGGTAAGTTTGAAAGAAAGAAAAACAAGACCCTTCACCAAGCTTTTGAGAACACAGGGTTGATGGATAGATCGAAACGATGGAGAACTACAGGTTCATAACCAGAAAAAAAACCATCCAACCATTTTCAGTTTGTAGATTTCAAAAGACCATTTTAAAATGCCACATATACAAACACCACCCTACCATCAGGAATAGTACATAATTTCTTAGTTTATTACGGTTGATACGTTGAAAAATATATCTTGATGTGATTGATATCAGCCATTTTTTTTTTTTTTTAATCAGGGAAAAGTTAAGTTTGAAAGAACGAAAAACTCAGTTCCTTCCTAAAGCTTACGCAGGGCTGATGGATAGATCGAAATTATGGATAAATACAGGTCCCTAACCACCCAGAAGAAATCGAAACTAAGGTGTATAAATAATGTATGGTGATTAGTGACCGTTAATCGATAATTATTCAGAAATCGTGAGATGCGGTCTGGTGTGATGTAGGTTTCAGAAAAACATTTTCTTTATCGTGCCAACGTTTCGATCTTTATTGAGCCCTGAAGATGATCTCAATAAAGATCGAAACGTTGGCACAATAAAGAAAATGTTTTTCTGAAACCTACATCACACCAGACCGCATCTCACGATTTCTGAATATCTAAGGTGTATATTATGTTTGTATTTCTTAAACTGACTATGTATATTTATGCATGTGCACATACATATTAGTTTAATAATAATATCACCTTATTTGTAAAAAGAAAAGTATATTTTTATCTGTTTTTAAAAATATCAGGGATGACGAATTTGAAAGAAGAACTCAGTTCCTTCTTCAAGTTTATAAGGAATATATAATTCATCAGGGCTTAGAAATTATTTTTAATTATTTAGACGGTTAACAAAAAATATAATATATGTCGTAATATCATTGAAGTTGACACTGTAACTTCTACTTATAATGCTAAAAAATATTTTATTCCTTACATTAAACATCCACTTTACAAGCTAAACTCATAAATTCCTTATGGTTGAAGCCATAAATCTTGTAAGTTTGTATTATTTTGTTAACCGTGTAAATTATTAGAAATAGTTTCTAAGTCCTACTGGAAAGGGAAGAAATGAAGCTTGATGAACTGAGCTCTTTCTTTGAAATTAGCCTTATCTTGACATTTGTATATATAAATAAATATTAAGACATTTTTATATACAGTTGAAAAATATACTTTTCTTTTAACAAATAAACTGATAATTTATTATTAACGTACACATGCAAAAACATACAAATGCTCCTATTTGTGAAATATAATAAAATCTTCGTTTCGGTTATTTCTGAGTGGTTATTGACCTGTAGTTATCCATCATTTCGGTCTATCATCCCTGCGTTCATCTGTCAGAGACACGTTTCCTTAAATAAAACGAGATAATTGTGTAAATTCAGGGCAATTTAGTAGAAAATGTATAATTTACTTAAAACTATTAACAAAATTATTTCGAGAGTGGGTCGGTAAACGTTTAAAACAACAACTACCACTCGTGGCAAAATTGAAGAATATTCTAAATTTAAAGGAGTAGCATGGCCGTGAACTTCAGATTAATTGTTAGAGAGCGATTTTTCAATATCAACACATATTGCTAATTACCTTAAGTTTTTTTTGCAAGATGACACTGAAATACACAATTTAGAAAATTTTACTAAGATCGTTCATCTAACGAATTTAAAAAGATGAAATGATTAGAAAAATAATTAATGATAGCAAATAGAATAGATTAATATTTCTTTCGAAGTTTAAAAAAGTTCAGGTATTATTGGTGTGAATCCCTTGATCATTGATATTTACTACCTTTATAATATTATGCAGGAAAAACTTAATTTTCGATTGAAAATTTACATAGTTGTGTTATAGTGTACATAAATATAATTTATTGTATATACATGGGGGGGAACCTTTCGGCTGTATAACATTCTCTAGCGACCCTTACCTCTAGTTGGTGAAGTTGTAACATTATCATTATTATATCACATTATATTTTATTAGAAGGGGGTTCTTTATTCTTCTTTATTCCATGTTGCACTGGTACTAACAGGCAGGCCGGCAAAGAAGCTCTCGCGTATCAAGAGCACTATCGACATCTGACTTATAGAAGAAGGAACACCCCCACCCGATTAAAGGAAACAGGGTTGTTTTATGGTACATAGTAACGATAATTTTGTGTCCCTAGCATTGTTGAAAGAGAATGTATTCATTAGCGCGAATGTGTACTGTGAGGGGACATGGAGAAATATATAGGGAAATATATAATATAGGGTGATGGAGAAATATCAAATACTACGCCACCATAACTGAGTAATTTGTAAAGAGGAAAGAGTGATTGAAAGGGAGAATGGGTTCGGATCTAGAGACTAATCGCATTGGGGGCTGAAATAACCTAGCCCCTGGAACCCATCCTCGGCGACCAGACGGATAAGACAGAGGTCTTATCTCCGACTGCCAACACCCAAAGTGGGTGATTCTAGGTGCATGCCGGTGATTTATTGTAAATTACACAAAAGATGGAAATGCTGGCTCGCTGGAAGAAGTGACAGGCCAACTCCATACATGCGTGCATGAATGTTCATGCACGTACAGATTTGAGGTTTTACAAATCATGTAGTATGTACATTCGCAAAGCTTGCGTTTGATCTCAGTTTGTTTCACTAGGTAACACTGGAATTTATCCGCGAATCTCAACAACGAAATTAGATTAGCAAATTTGACAATAAATTTTTCATTTCGAGCAAAAATTGTAGGCATTTAGTACTTTTTGTCTATGCCGTAAAAAATATACAACATTGAAAAATATTGTATGCTGCTTGGGATCCAAATGTGTAAGACCAAAGAATTTAAGGGATTACGTTCGAACGAAAGTGGGCTGGGCCTTGAAATGGTCGACGTACCAAGGATGAACCCACAGAGTACAGACACTTTGATGGTAGATATCATGGTTTTAAACCGTGATAACGGGAAAGAAAATTTGTAAAATTGTATAGGTATGTTGACCAATTATCAAAATGTAACTTCATTTTTAAAAATCAAGAGCAATATTATGCTGCAGGTTTGGCATTACCTTAACTCACTCATAAAACTAAATATCTGTATAAATATTATTTTATGGAAATTATAACATGCGCATATATTATGTATTGGTTTCCAAGTCTGAAAGACAAAAGAAACATTTTAACGTTCAAACGAAAGAGGGCCTTGAATTGGTCGACGTACCAAGGAACCACAGAGACTATGACGGAGAGGGATCATGGATTAAAATCATGAAGACCAAAATGAAGAGACTAAATGTATGTCGATGTTGGCAAGGTAAATGGCAAGGGTATGTAACTTTATCACGATTTAAATAATATTGAGGTCATTTCACTCGCTGATAGCATTCGACCTTTTTTTAACGCCTCGTAAAAATAAGCACATATCAAAAACTTATTACGTGTGGATATATATGTCATGGAGGTTAATTATTTAAAGTGTTGAATTTAACGGTTTAAACCTTATTTAACATTGAAAAAAACTATAACTGACAATATCAATAGAGATCATATTCCATATGTTCGTCGTCGGGGTTATCAATGTAGACTGTCAAACGTGACAAGACATCTCTTCATATGGAAAAAGGGTCAAAAAAGTATTTTATTTAAAAATCCATTTAAAAAGTTGACAATGAGCGGGATTTTTTGACACGAATAAGTCAAAAAGTCAGTAACAAAATGACTCACCTGTAGGCTAAACTTGAGGACGCCGCTCTCGAAAGCCAGTATATTTGACACGGTTTGGTCCGATTTTGAAGTTTGACTTTCAACGTGAAGTTAACCACTCAATTTACCAGGGGAAAGTTGTCGGACACTGATTCAAACTATGCCAACGATGGAAAGTGGAACAATAAACAAAGAGGAAGGAATCAAGTATCAGTACTTCGATGTTGGTAACCTGGAAATAATCGATCTTCCGACATCAAGTCGAACATGCTCAAATTATTTTCTACCAGTTTTCAGTTTTCTTCTCAAGCAGTTTAAAGATAAAATGAGAACAACCGACAAAAATAAAATTTGGTCAAAACCGTGAATACCCAACGAAGGAAGTGCACAATTAATTCACAAAAATCTCAGTTCTAAAATCCGTTATAGAAACGTTTTTATAAATTCATCCTCATCATGATTGGTTAAAATTCAAAATTCATGCATACACAAATCGTTAACTATTCATGTAAATAAGCTATTTAAATAGTACAAAATATAAATGTCAGCGCATAAATACAACGCCCCAAATTAAACTTGTATATGTTAACTTATTAGAAGTTTTAACGCCAATATATAAACTTTTATTTAGTTATATTGTAAATACTTGATTGTTTTGATTTTATCGATGCGATGCTAAAACTTAGTTTCGCCACGTCTTCACCTCGATTTATTCTTCGATAAGCCGGATTGAAGGTACTTGTGGCCAGGTTACTTTTCACCCCAGGGCGGAGGTTCTCGAATTGAAGTTTCATTATTTGAACGGAATGGCGGACGAAGATCTCCCTCCCGGTTGGGAAAAACGGTTAAGCAGATCTACTGGTACTTAAATGATATTGTATCTCATATTAATATTTGAACTTTCATATATATTCCCTATGTTTTGTTTTTAACGTTTTCACATCGTTCGAAGTCAGGAAAGGTCTTCCATTGATTTATTTCTTCTTGATTCTTTATTCGCCTTGTTCGGAACAAACATGTTTTAATAGTGTCGTTTTCTTACTTTGTAACTGGTTAAAAAGCTCAGGCACTGTGACACACAATGTGTTTCATTCTGCAAACATACCGCATATATTCCACCTTCCAAGAAACTTTTTTAAATACATTTAATTTTGAATTCATTTGTGCACTTATCAGTAATCAATTTACTGGAGTCATAATTATTGTTTTAATTGTATTGGCGAATTCTAAAAGCCTGATTGGATTGCTAAATACAATATTTAATTTTCTATATCAATAACACATGTTCAAAGAAAGGGTTAAATTGGTCTTTTTTTCAGATTCAGGTTTAATCCTCAATTGATTAACATGTTGAATATGTGGAATATATGTCATCTCCTTAGCTGGTGTGAGCGACGACTTGGCTATTGTAATATTACATCAACTCATCCCAGGGTATCAATTTGGGCCAGACAGGCTTGCAGTCAGAGAGAAAAAAAACCTTGTATCACTTCATTTATAATACGGTAGAACTTCCGTTACACGTTAAAAATTGGTAATGAGGGGGTCCATAGAAAGTCGAATAACTGAGATAATGGAATATTTGTTTAATGTGTTAATTAAAAAGACATGCATAAACGACAACTTAACACATTGTTGCAGCTGAGAAAAACTCAAAAATGTTTTATTTTACGTTTATTCAACAACTCCAAATTCTGCGACTAATTTTTTCACATTTTTGCACTTCCACGGCATGTATCATCTCCAATTTTTATTCTATCGTGAGAATGGGTTTTCTTTTTATGAAATTTTTGTTTTGCTTTAATGGAGAGCAAAGCAGAACGGGAAACAAATTTTAAATCAATAGAAATAAACTGACCCATGGGTTTTTCAGAGGAACAAGACAAAGGACAGAGTTCTCTAAATCAGAAGTCACTTGTTGCTACACAAAAATATACCTTTATTTATAGTATATATACAGAGACTCAGGGCCCAGAAAATGGAGGTTCTACTCTAAATATTATCCGACAGATTTTTTTTTTTAAGGTTTGGGGGTTAAATAAATATTTTAAAAATCCTTTCTTTCGCTGTGACCTATATAGATCTATTCCACAAATTATAATCATACTTTGGAAAATGCACTCTCTGTACGCCTCTTTTCTTGTAAGAATTGCATTACCGAAGTGGCTGTACTGTAACAGGTTATGTACCAAGGTCTCTGGTTCCTCCTGACGTCGGCATGTTTCTATCTGTTTTGCCCATGTTATAGTTTATGTATTATGCTTGCATAATGACAACAAATCACAGAAAAACCAGCAAAAATAAAAATTTGACAACATAATTAATCCATTGACTTACCATCCAAGTGCTGGGCTTAGCAGCATGACTAGGCAGACTAGAATAATCAAAAACAACCAAACTCACATGAATGACTAGCCTAACTACTAGTACTATCATAGATGATAAGCAACTGGTTTTTCAACTAGCAGATCAACTCGTCTAAATTTGGTCAGTTTATGATTGTCATACATTTCAAACTTGACATCTTGTTTACAGGTCAGAGCTATTATCTCAACGTTTACACTAAAGAGAGCCAGTGGGATAGGCCGGACAAACCTGCTGAAAGTGGGATAAGTGGGCCGACTCAAGTGCAATGCAGTCATCTTTTAGTCAAACACAAAGATTCAAGGAGACCAAGCTCCTGGAGGGAGGAAGTCATAACAAGAACCAAAGAAGAAGCTTTTGAACTTGTAAAGGGTTAGTGTTATTGGATGTACCACACTATTTAATCTCATGTTTAGTATGACAGTTTCCAAGCCGAAGGCAGTACAAAGCTTAGATTAGTTTCAGTGGCACCTACACCAACAATCTATGATGCTCATACATTTCCAAGCTTGTGAAATAATTATTTTTTCCCTTATGATAAATAGAAAATTCATGTTAGTTAACCAGCAAAATATAGTTTGCTGTCTTTTATTTCTCTCATAATTTTTCAAATAAACAAAACTAATGAACACTTAAATGAATGCAATTTCACTTGTAAATTTAAATTTTACTTAACTGCAAATTTAATAGTTACAATTGAGATTTGGATGTATTAAAACACTAATACTAACTTATATGCGATCCTGTAGACAAAACATACGTATTATCTAAACATTTAATATAAGTACTAGATAAACCAGGGGCACCGATGGCCACAACAGTTAAGGCATTGACATAGCGCATCAATGTAAGGTAAAGGTTCAAAAATGCAGGGTCGCTGGATTCAAACCCAACGTACTTACAAATGAACTTTTTTTTTAACTTCACTATTTTTCGTGGTCCGCTTGACCAATTAATATCATTCAATTATTTAAGGTTTTAAGTTGAGATAAAAAAAGTCAGTGTCACGACATTTAAAAATTGGCAAAAAGGAGGGAAAATTCAAAAAGGGGGAATGCGATGGGAAGTCAGTGCCCGAGGGGATCGAAGTCACGATAGCTCAAGTGGTAGAGTAGCGGCGTATCAAGCCGAAGGTCGTGGGTTCGAATCCCGCTCGTGACTGACTTTTTTTATCTCAACTTAAAACCTTAAATAATTGAATTTTTTTAACACCGTCTCCTCGAGTGTTGATACAACCTTTGTTATTTATTATGAACCCTCATTTTAAAAAAATGTATATAAAATATAAATGCATTTAAAACTTTTTAGGTTATAGAGAACAGATTGCATCAGGAAAGGCTTCCTTTGCAGAACTCGCCAGCAAATATTCTGATTGTAGTTCAGCCAAAAAAGGTGGAGATCTCGGACCGTTTGGCCACGGAGCCATGCAAAAAGCTTTTGAGCAAGCAGCATTTGCCCTTAAAGTAGGAGAACTAAGTGAACCCATTTCAACAGACTCTGGTATCCATATTATCATACGCACAGCATAATTCATAACAAAAAGTTTCCATTAATTTTCATTTAAATTATGGAACTAATTAACCATCAACAATTTTCATTGATTTGTTGTTAATTAAAATTCCATGGTATTTTAATGTTCAATTTTTTATTTTATAAGCCTGTAAAAATATTTAAAACCTCATTTGGTATTTTGTAACTTGTACAATTATTTTTCAATGTTCTTTAAAAAGTTTGTTAAAATGAGAATACATACTTACCTAGATTTCAAGATTATATTCTGATGTTATTTTATAAATTTTGTGTTCAATTGCTAATTCTTAAATTTGCATCCTCATCATTAACTATCATTTATAGTTTTGTATTTAATTTAATGTCTTCGGTTTCATTATTATTTGTTATGAATGGTAGAAAATTTTATTTTGTCAGGCAGTGGGCTTAGTGTTAAAATTCCTGTTTTATTAAATAAATTTCAATTTGGCAGCCTTTGTTTTTCAACACAGTTCCTTATATGCGAAATATAATTTTTTAAATAAAACAAATACACTAAAACATTAAAATAGGTTGTTATATTTTATCAGATACTCGAATTTTATCTTTTCTCAACAAGTAAAATGCAAGCCTAACTTAAATATTGTTTGTCGTATAAATTAACTTGGCCAATTATGACCATTGGTTGGCTAACTGCTACAAAATCACTAGGAAGAACAAATATGAAACAAAATTGTTTTTACAACTTTAATGGTAAGATTACATTGAAAAATAAGAAATATTTATAAAACAGTAAGTCAGGCTTTGTAAATGGCCTGAATATGGAGCCATACTCAAAGGAAATAACCAAGGCATGAAATAAATGTATAACATCTAGACTACACACTGAAAGTAGTTCTATTGTTCAAGTCTGTTTGTTTATTACAGTTAAAGATACATTTCGATTAAATGTTTTTGTTGTTTGGTTTTTTAAACTAAATCAAAATAATTATAAAAAGTTAAGTATAAAACTAAACATAAAACAAATAATGAAATATACAAAAGACGTGAAAGGAGGGGCACATTAGACCTTTTTTTTTACATCATAGGAATTAAAACTTATACAATTCTCCCTCCAGTCTGCTGCTGATATACTTCTATCGTATCGCCTTCCTCCATTTCAAGACTTAAGGGTGTGTCAGCTTCATTGATCGGTTGTCCATCAAATCGAAACCTGACAGCTGCCAACGCAAGGCCCTGAAATAAATTAATGATTATCGTAATAATATGCACTTTTTAATTAAAGATAATTAAAAAAATATTAGGATCTACTGACAAAATTGGACAATATGGGTTAATAATGGATTAGTAATAAGAATAATATAGTATGGCCCAACAGGGTGTCACCTCATTACACCAGGTTGACAAACTATTAATATTTAAATTGATTTATAATTTTTATGCAAACCTTCAACTAGAAAAGCTGGAGCTATCAAGACACCGACTCATCATCTCAAACTACAACTTTTTCAAATTTTCCTATTTTTGTTAAATATTCAAAGCCAAAGGTCCGGAGTTCCCCGCTCATGACATTAATTTTTTTATCTCAACCTCATTTACATAAACATTATAAATCAATATAAATAATCACTTTGGTTAACCAAATAGAAAAGGTTTAATGAATACATTAAGTTTAGAGTTTAGGCATGTGTTAATTTTATTTTAAGATAGCAGTGGTAAGAATTTACAATTCATGTTAAGACATTAATACTTGTTAGTCAGTCGAAAATGGTAGGTAAGATTTATGATGCTCTTTTTGTTATTTATATGTTAACATATTATTCATCATAGTGCTGAATATCACGTGGCAGTAGAACTACAATCTGTTGTTAAAGGTGTAACAGTTCTTGAAGATTTAATGTTGGTAAAGCTTTTGTTTTCAGTTGTGAAGGAAGAATATTTTTTCAAAATGCCGAAAGTCAGTGGAAAGATGTCTAATCAAGCCTTTGATTCAAAATGCAATCAGCCCGTTAAATATTTAAAAGTTACAAATTATGCACCACATAAATCGCAGCTATACTTAATCAAAGAACTGACCAGATAGGAGGTAGAATGACTGGTAAACAACTAACAGGTCCAACTCTCTTAGTTAAGTGGTAATTTCTAACAGACCTATGTCATATTTCTAAATTATTCCAATTAAAATTATTCTTTTTCTCTAAGATCTTGATTGAGAGGAAAAAGTATTAGGAGCGGGATTCAAACCCACGACCTTCGGCTCAATATGCTACTGCTCTAACCACTTGAGCAATTGTGTTTTCGATCCGCTTAGACACCAACTCCTCTCAACCTACAACCTTTTGAATTTTCCCATTTTCTTAATCTAAACACAACTGTTCAGGGTTAATACAAGGATCGTATATACCAATATTACTTTCCAAAACACACTGATCTATTTGTGTTTTGGAATATAAAACTGGTCTATCATTACATATGTTTAGAATCATCTGGTCCGTTGCTTGCTAGTTATGTTTCAGCATTTTGCTATCTATGTTTCTTTTAATTTTGTTACAAACACACTGGATCAAGGGGATGGTCTTGAAAAAAAAAAAGCAAATTTAGTTGCTACTGCCAAGCTTTCTACCTATTTTAAGGTCACCGTCAGGGTAAAACAACCTTAAACATGTACCAATTAATTACTCTTTTTATCGAAGGGTTTTGGTTGAGTGTACAAGTTAGTGTCACAAATGGGATTCGAACCTATGGCCTTTGGCTCAATACCCTGCCTGCTCTAACCACTTGAACCATCATGATTGGTGGTTAGAGCAGCAATATGTTGAGCAGGTCATGGGTTTCAATCCTGCTCGTGAACTAATTTTTTCATTTCAACCAAAAATCTTTCATAAAAAGCGTAATTATATGGTCAATTGTGACCACTAAACATATATGGCTTAAATATGTCTGCAGATTGACTTAGTTAAGTTTTTACGGGCGATCTCAAATTTCCTTGAAGGCAGACTCAGTCCCAACATTGCCAAGGACTGTAAAGATTTTGTTTTTCACTTACGTTTTGACAGTCAAATAAGTCAAATTATAAATACTCTTTTTATGTACGGTTTTTGGTTGAGATGAAAAAGTTAGTTCATGAGCATGATTGAAGCCCATGATCTGCACAACACGCCGCTGCTCTAACCACCAATCATGACGGTTCAAATGGTTAGAGCAGCAGTGTATCGAGCCAGATCAGTGTTTTGGAAAATAATATTGGTATACACGATCCTTGTATTAACCCTGAACAGTCGTGTTTAGATTAAGAAAATGGGAAAAATAGAAAAAAATTCAAAAGGTAGGTTGAGAGGAGTTGGTGTCTAAGCGGATTGAAGACACAATAGCTCAAGTGGTTAGAGCAGTCGCATATTGAGCAGGTCATGGGTTTGAATCCCGCTCCTAACAGTAACTTTTTCCTCTCAACCAAGATCTTGGAGAAAAAGAGTAATTTTAATTGGAATAATTTAGAAAAATGACGTAGGTCTGTTAGAAATTACCACTTAACTAAGAGAGTTGCATCTCACGATCTCCGAATAGTTATTATTAGTGTCTGGCAGGGAAGTTTTATTGCATATCATATTATGATACACTTGTCATATTTACATTAAAAGTAGGTAAGATATATTCTTTTGAAATTATGACGTTGAACCGTACCCTATCCACAGTAATTTGAAAAATGTGAGTTAGCTGACAAGCAATAAACTATACGCTTTAGACGTGACTCATGAAAGAAAATGTCTGTTTTATGATGAATCAATGTAGCTCCATCAATAAATAAATGATAAAGATGAAAATTAATAAAAACAAGACAGCTGACTATTGAATTTATATAGAAGAAAATAACATTTTGTTATATATTAATACTAAAATATGCCTGTGTATCAAAATATGTAATATTCATATTCCTTGAAAATGACATCCATTGTAACCGCCAATTGATTTACTTACGAAAATTTATTTAAAAAAAGAAGTTATAAATTCGAAATTGATTTAAATTTTGATTTAGGAAGAAGTACGGTACAGCGTTATGGACAACGGTTCGAAAAAGCAGAATTCGCGGTCTTGTCCTTGAAAGTGTGAAAAATGTTTTTTCCGAGTTTTCAAACGGCCGAGAAGAATTCCCAACCGAAGAACACGGAAATACATGCTGGAGAAAGAGTAAGTGAATGTGACTTACAGCCCGGTCGCAGTAGGCGTTCATGAGTTTCCTCAACGGTGTATGTTTTTTTATTTTAAACTGGACAATGGCGTTATCCTGGCCCATTACTTTAAGGTTAATATGCTCCGACTCTCCTGCCTGTAAGGGTAAGAAAATTTGAAAAGGCGAACACGCAATTTGTGTTCAAACAAACCAATCCGCATATAAGCGTGCCTCACCTTTTTGTCTTCGGACATGGTCGTTTAGTATTCGAAGACACTTAAATATAATATAAGAGATAAAAACTTATTGAAAATCAACGGGCGGTTCTGTGATCCTTTTGAACAGTCCGAGAGGTTCACCGCTCGAAATAGTCGCCTGATAGCAGAACGCCGTGTTAGCTTCGCCGCACGGACAACGAGGACGATTACGAAGGGGCTATGGCGGAGAAGAGACGGAACGAACTGCCGGCAACTATCACGTCTCCGAATATATCATTAGCGATTTTTTTCCAATTTTGAACAAAAACACACTACTTAAATTTATACTTAAACAAAATAACAAAAAACTGTGGATGTCTGAATTATTCTAAATTGTTTAAAATTCGGTTTAAACGAAAAAAACACGTGAATACATACGTCTCGCTCTGATCAATATCGCATTGGCTGTGGCAGTTTTGTTGAAAATCCCAGTCTCTATATTTGGGTTTATTTATACGAATCTCTGGAACGCAGCGTTTTAGAGGCTGAACCGAATCTTCTGACTTCTGGCCGTGCCTCCTTCTTTACAAATTAAGGTAATCCCGCATTCTTTTATTAGAGAGAGACAAAGGAAAACGGCAATCCCGGGTTTTTGTTAAGCCTTCTTCTAAATGAATCGTTTCTGTAAACGATGTAAGTGCCCTCTGCCAGTGGCGCGAGAAAGCGGCCACTTCCTTTCTTTAACGGCTTTTCTGAATTTATATATTTACACTTACAAACAAAAAATTCCACCCACCTGTAATATAATTGGTTTGTATATATTTTTATATGTAAATCAATGCTTCACGTTTTTTAACGTTTAATAATTGATAATTGTCTAAAACACTAAAAAAATAATGCAAATTGCTAAGGAAAATGAAAAAAAAAGACGGACAGATAAAATTTGTTTTAGATTTTTAATTAACATTTCAATATGGCGTATTACTCCTCTTGCCTTAATTACATCTCGAAGACGCCTCGGCATACTTTCTTCGTCTTTCGAGATCGTGGAGTTTATCAGGAAGTGATGGACGTGTCCTTATTCGTCTTTTGAGGTTATCCCATAAATGTTCGATGGGGTTCAACTTTCAAGTCTAGAAAACGGGCTGGCCAGGCTAACACCATGATGTTATGCTGTTGAATATTTGTACTATGTGAGCGACATGTGGACGGGCATTATCGTGTATTAGAATAGGATTGTCGCTGATTTCATTGAGGACAGGCAAGCATGATGTTCCAAAATTTCATCCTCATAGCGAGTGGCCGTCAAAGACCCTCCACGAACAACAACCAACTCTGTGCGACTCTTCATTCAAATGCCCACCCTCACCATCACTGAGCTAAGTTGAAAAGGTTGGCTCCGGGAAAAATTACAGGTTTTCGTATCTTTCATTTCGCCTTCTCCACACTCTTTCGCGCCTGTCTAGTGATCGTAGAGCAAATATACACACGTCTGTAAAAACTACAGCAGACCAATCGTCCAAAGACCAATGACTGTGTTCTCGAGCAAATGCGAGCCGTGCTACTCTGTGTCTTCTGGTCAATTCTGGGCCTCTGAAGAGGCGAAAAGTCATCAGTCCATACTGATTTAATCTTGGAAATTTGGACACCTTGAACTTTCTGTCACTAATGAATCGCTTGAACAACAGTAAGGTGCCAGTTTTGGAAAATTCCCAAAGTCAAAAACGGTCATCCTGTGGTTTTATTACCCTAGGGCGTCCAGAACCGGGCCTTCTATGGTAGGACCCAGTTTCTCGAAAACATCTCGCAGTGTTTCGTTGAGAACTCCGATGCAATAGGCGCATACCTGACGGAACGTCCGTCATCAATAAGTGCCACACCACACGCAACATCCTCAGCATTAAGTGGCATTTTGTTTTTAAGTTTAAAAATTGAAAGTAAGAAAACAAAGATAAAAACTAACCAGTTTATAGCTGCAGAATTCAAATGAGACTGAATAAACCTTTTCAATTTCGTAAAAGGGAAACATTGAAAAACAATATTCTTGTTTTGGATTAAGGATTAAGTGTGTACTCTAATTGATATTCCCAATTTAAAACACGACATAAACAAATATTTATTGTGTCGGCCCTTTTTCAGGATTGGATCGGATAAAAACCGTAAATACTTTTTCGTTTTAACACACTCTCTTTATTTCCAGTACATAAGCATTTTCACAAATTATAACCTCTCTAAAAGTGACCAACGGATTTAAGAATGTCACAGTCTGATTTCATCTTGGCGCAACATTCAAATTTATTCTCCTACAATTGGTTAAAACAATGAGACAAATTAAGGGCAGAATTTTTTCTTAATATCGAGAAAATGAAAAAATATCAATTTGGTAGAATGTGTCAGTGTACTATGCACAAACATTTAAAAACTTAAATTTCCCCTTTTCTTTTTAAATTTAAAAGAAACATCGAATTTAACTCCTCTCCATTGTAAACTGCTAAAAAATGAGTAGGGATATTTGTAATTTATTCATATTCTATTAATTTTAATTAAATTAACCAACATATTCTTGTTAGTTGCATGAAACAAGATAGAAAATACATACCAAAAACAAATAAATGTTAATCCTCATTTTTGATAACAGATTTACTCAAGAATAATAAACATAAAGATTACTTATTTTATAAACAAACATCTTTTCTCAATTTTAATCCAGTTGTATTATCTTTAACCATGAAAAGACATCATCTTGAACTAGAAGTTTGCAATATTATAGTGAGAATGAGTCATCGAGGTATCCTGCAAGTGGATATCGCAGAGGCATTTTCTCAGAGCGTGGTCTCCCATGCTTTAGAGTTTAACCCAATTCCATGGGACTGGAAATGCCATAGGAGGCCTGGTTGTGGATTGCAACGCAGTACGACACTAAGGGAGGACAGAAATATTGCCATTGCTGTAAGACAAAATCCTTTCCGTAGTGCCAGCCAGATCCTAAAAGTAGAAGATCTTTTGGCAAAGCCTTTATCAACACAAATTATTTGTAATCATTTGTGGGAAGTTGGTATCACATCTTATGTCCCTTTGAGACGACCTGCAGCTACAGCACACCACCAGCAACTCAGGAGAACATGGTGAAGCGTGCACCTAGAAGAGAAGTTCAATTGGAATGCTGTAATGAGGCGTTTCTGTCTGTATGTAGTTGTAGCAGGCACTGAATAGTCTACCGATAACAGGGTTTGCATACGTGAGCTCTTCAGTGCTCTTGGAGGAGGTGGTGTAATGGCCTGGGCAGGGATTTACATTTGAGGACGAACTGTACTCTACATTGTTGAAGGCAACCTCACTGCAGTCTGTTATGTTCAAGAAACAATTGAGGAATACATCCCTCAAATTAGGGATCTCATTGGCAGGAATTTTCAATTTCTAGATGACAATCCCAGACATAGAGGCAGAGTTGTCCATCAATATTTAGAAAACCTGGGAATTTTCCATCTGCCCCTTCCTCTTTGTCTCCAGACCTCAATCCCATTGAGCACATATGGGATGCGTTGCAGAGAAGGCTTTTTGATCACCATCTGCATCCAGTTGACCTGCAACAACTGACTGCAGCGTTGCAACATCTATGGAGAAATTCCTTATGAAATTAGTGTCAATCTTATTAACAGTATGCCAAACAGGTGCACAGAGGTTTTAGCTAACAGATGACATTATTCACGTCGCAATCAAACATTATTGTGTCCAATAAACAAATTTATGGAATTATTTTATTTTGTTATTTTTCAAAATCCCTTAATTGGGGACCGCGGTAGCCAAGTGGTTAATGTGAGAGACTCGAGTCGTAGATCATAAGGCCATTAAAAAGGCTGCTTAATTAAATTGTCCTTCAGTAAAAAACAATTTCTAATAAATTTTAATACAATTTGTAATAAAAATGCTAGGGAAACTAAATACTACAAAATTGGCAATATCCCTACTCATTTTTGAGCAGTTTAAATCAACTTTGATTCGTTTCTTTTTTTTTTTCTTAACTAATAATGTGACTTCAAAACATTCTCTATAATATTGGGTTGTCCGGAAAATAATGCAGGATTTTGGTATTAAACAAAAAAAAAGAAACTAGTTACTTTAAAGCAATGTTCTTTAATCAAAATAATTTCCCATACTCTCAATACATTTCTCCCAACGTGTTGGTAACTTATTAATTCCGTCTGAGTAGAATTCAGAATTTTTAGAATTGATAAAGTCAATAAATGCATTTTCCAGTTCCGTTTGATTTTTGAATATTATGTGTTGTAAGTAGTGGTCCAGGTGTCTAAAAAAATGGTAGTCAGTAGGCGAGAGGTCCGGAGAGTAGGGTGGGTGAGGCAAAGTTTCATAGCCAAGCTCCAATAATTTTTGTGACGTTACACGTGACACATGTGGTCGAGCGTTGTCATGCAACAAAATGGGCCCTTTCCGATTGACCAAAGAGGGCTTCATTACTGCCAATTTCTGATGCATGGTATTAATTTGGTTACAGTATGATTCAGCATTGATGGTTTCGCCAGGATTTAAGAAGCTGTAGTGTATTAAACCAAATGAAGCCCACCATACCGTAACCATTACCTTTTTTTGATGAGTTGGGGGCTTTGGAAAATGTATTGGAGCTTCTCCTTTGTCGAGCCACTGTCCAGAACGTCTAGTGTTATCGTAGAGAATCCACTTTTCGTCACATGTAACAATTCTGGCCAGAAATGGGTCATTTTTGTTTCGACAAAGAAGTGATGCACAAACATCAAAGCGCTGATTTTTTTGGCGATCGTTTAATGAGTGTGGAACCCAATTTTCGAGTTTTTTCACTTTTCCAATCGCCTTGAGGTGGTCAGCGACGGTCGTTTTACTGACTTTGAGTTGCTCTGCACCCACCACTGATCGCAGAACATCATCATTAAGAGAGGAAGGCCTTCCACGACCTTCTTCATCTTCAAGGCTGAAATCTCCCTCCCGAAATTTTTTAAACCACCTTTGCACAGTGCACTCATTAACACAACCCTCGCCCCAGACTTGGTTAATGTTTCTAGCCGTTTGGGCTCCGCTTCGGCCGAGTTTAAACTCGTAAAAGAAAATCGTACGAAATTCTCGCTTTGACATTATAAGGATGACTGAATTATTTCCAAGTAGCGGAATGCTACAGAGGTAAACAAATTCATACAAATGAGTAATCCTGTAAACGTAAACAGAATATTTTATATAGATTTTTTTTAATGAAAACTTAAAATCCTGCATTATTTTCCGGACAACCCGATAGATGCACATTAGTAAAAAAAGTCACAGAACACTGTCAGTGGACTGGAAGCAAACCTTTTAAATTAAAATAATAATAAGTAAAATTGATTAACAACACACTGTCTTGCAATTATAAACTTTAATCAACATCAAAAATCTTTTTTCACACACATATTCACACCCTAGGGATAGGGATAATGAGGAAAAAGGTGGCCACCAAGACCTTCTGCACCTCAACCTGAGTACATTATTGTGCTCCCTTATTTTTTATAACTCTCGGCCTTCTCCAGGTTATTAATCAACCTCCATTACCTTGCCAGTGGCTCCTTTGTGTAAAATCTTGCTTGCGGCTTTTCCTCTACAGGCAAGAACATGTGAAAGACCATAGGGTCATTGGGGTTTAATCCCCAGCTTTTAGCACTGATCCTTCTGCACCTTCCCCAGGCAATTTGGTCTCTTTGGGTAGTTTTAATTAGATGTGGATTTGGTGTGACCTGCTGGTTATTTTTATAACTTAGATTTTTGAGTTCCTTGGAAAATGGAATTGTTTTTCATTGATAGAACTAGTTTTTTATTTGTCACATGCGAGGATTTATTAGTCCACTCCTGTAAAATCTTTGTGTGTGTGTGTGTGTGTGTGTGTGTGTGTGTGTGTGTGTGTGTGTGTGTGTGTGTGTGTGTGCCTTCCAACAATGCTGACAGGGTTTAAATCTGGTGATGGGTGTGGTGTCTTGAGTTTTCCGTTCTGTGTGTTTGGGGTTGTTGTCTTGCTGGAAATTCTTTCTATATCAAATTTAATAATGCTTTCCTTTAAAATCTGTGTTAGAACATCAATTTAGGCGTATTGGCTCGTGATCCCATCAATGATGTGTAAATTGCCAACTCTTCTATACCCCATGCAGCCCCAAGCAAGCACCCTGTTTAACCTTCGGTAGTGTATTCTTTAATTCCAAATGTTCCCCTAGCTTTCACCACACTTTTTTTCTTCTATCGTACCATGATACATTAATTTACTTTCATCGGTGAAAATAATCTCCAAAAATGCATTAGGCTTACTTAAATGCTCTTTAGCAAACTGGAGGCACTTTTCCCTGTTCTTCATAGTTATGCCCTGTGCTGCACTGGGATTGCATCCATGCATGCCTTGTTTTTTAATAGTATTTTGAAATATTTACAATCCTGATATGGAATACCTGCAATTTCGAGGGCCCTTGTTGATGGGTTGGTGGTCACTTCTTTGAGGATGACTTGCTTTTGGATGGTGTTTAATTTTTCTAGCCAACCTAAATGTGGTCTGTTTTCAGCATTACCAAGTTCCATATACCGGGAGATGATTTAATGAATTGTCAGGGGTTGCTTATTAAGTGCATTTCCTATTTCACAAAATGATTTTCCTTCATTCAACAATTATTTACCAAGTAGACCATGTTATTTCCATACTGAAGGATAATACAGTACTAAATAAACAAAATAAGATTCATATTAAGCTAATATTAATCAAAGAAAATAAAGAATCAGGCTGTAGACAGTGAACTTCGGAAAACAAAACCGTATTCATAGGACAATTAATTAAGGTTTTTAGTTGAGATGAAAAAAAAGTTAATGGCACGAGAGGGATTCGAACCCACGACCTTCGGCTAGATAAACCTCACCGTGAGGTCACGATAGCTCAGATGGTAGAGCAGCGGCGTATCTAGCTGAAGGTCGTGAGTTCGAATCCCTCTCGTGCCATTAACTTTTTTTCATCTCAACTAAAAACCTTAATTAATTGTCATGTGTTAATTGGTCAAGCGGACCACGAAAATAGTGAATTACGTATTCATAAGTTTCCGCAAACTTTTCTTACATCTCGATTAGAATATTCAAAGTTATTATGAAAATAAATAATCTTTAAATTAAATCATTTATTTTTTAATGTTCCAAAGGTTTTAAATAATATATCCAGATTTATAAAAATAGTGTTTTTATTTCCAATAACTTACAGTAAGAATTTGGAGAATAAATCAGTAGATGTTTAGAGACTTTTTTACTGAGTGTTTGTTTATAAGATTTGTATCAACTGAAAATAAATGATAAAAGGAAAACTGTTTCATACCTGATTAGTCGCTCACAAGTTGTCGATTTCAGTCGAAAAAATTGACATAGGTTTTACTAATTATGGACTGGGAGATTAACCAAGCCATTATACTTTCCATTACCCCTTCAAAATAATTTGTATAGTTTTTTTCTTTTGTCATCTTTATTTAAATAAAAGTATTTCAATTAATACAAATGTTAATTTAGGATTATCACATGGGTTCATCACAGTCCCCTTCTATTTTTCATGTAAATCAGAAAGTTCTCTTCTTCTTTTATTTCCTTTTCATTTCAGTTAAAATTATTCATTATTTATTGGGTTTTTAGATCTTTTTCAAGCAACATACGGAGGTGCACCTTGGGCACCAAAGTTAAAAAGTTGGAGCAAAAGTATCCCACAGCAAATTCAGTATTATTATTATATGTAAAATCAGACAATGGCTAAACTACAAAGTGTGGAAGAACACTAGCTAGGAAGGCTGATGAACAAAGACCCAAATAACCTATGTACCATTCATTAGTCTGGTGGTCCAATGCTCAATAAATAATAGCTTCCCAATACGGTATATAAAGCTTAGCAAACCTATGTATCACTGGGGCTATGAGAACGACTTCTACAAGTGTACTAGAAATTCAAAAACAGTCTCGAAAGTGAATAAGTTGAAAAACTATTTCTTATAATATTGAAAATAATATATAAAAATATATTGTGGTCAAAAGGATTTTATAAAGATAAAACGCACATTATTAAAATAATTATTGAAAATTTATTCAGCTCGTACGGTGAGTAAAAATAATTAACTTTAAAATTATGATATAGTTTTATCGAAATATAGAATATTTATATATTATTTTTTTCTTTTAAAAAATTTAACTATTTATTTATTTTTAAAGTATTTACATATATATAATGCCTTCTCATGCTTACGGAATGTAAATACAATTTTATTTTATCACAAATACAAATTTAAAAATTTTGTCCAGCAAAAAACAGGATATAACAATTATAATGGTAAATATAAATAGTAAATTTGATATATAATTTTTTTTTATTTTCACACATAAGAGCACACCATGTTTGGTGTTACTCATTAAGACAGATTGTACGAACGAGTGCTTCCGCAACACAGTATGGGTCGCAGTTAGAAGATGGGCGCCTGTCTTCTAGATACCCTTTCTTTTCTTCAGCACAATGTCTTGGGATTCTTACACTGGCTCCACGGTTAGCAACACCTTAAAAATTATTATGATTAATGGAAAAATATAATTGATTGCAGTAATAGATAACAAAACAATCCAAACATACCTGCTGAAAAGTCATGTATTGAAGAAGTTTCACATGTTCCAAGGAGTCTTCTTTCATTATCTTTGCCTTCATTGGGATCATAAGCCCTAATGTGCCTCAGATGTTGTTTCGACAGCTTGTCAATGGCATTTTCAATATGTCTAAAAGAAAATTTAAAATTATATTTCCTTCTTGTGTTGAATAATATGAATAATTAAGCATTATAAATAATAATACAATATTCCATTTTCTTCCCGCATCGCCTTAGTTGAGAAATTGCAGTGGGCGCCTGATCCATTCCAATTTCCAGGGATTGGTTTTGGATCCAAGGTAACACAAACACCAAATTCTTCAGCAACTCTATGCAGGATGAATCGGGACATCCACAAATGGTCCCCAATTTCAATTCCTAAGCATGGTCCAACTTGATATTCCCACTGATTTTGAAAAAATAAATAGTTATATTGAAAATTATTTCTATTTATGTATAAGTTCCGAAATGTTTACCTGAGCAGGCATAACTTCAGCATTAGATCCTGAAATGTTTATACCGGCATACAAGCAAGCTCGGTAATGTGCTTCAACTATGTCCCTTGCGTACACCTTATTAGCACCAACCCCACAATAATAAGGGCCCTGAAATTTTCGACATTGGGGATAAAATTGATTTTCATTTATTGAAATTATTGATGGTAACATTTAACAATTTAATTCAATAATTAATCTTTCATGACACATTAATTTACTAAAAATGAATAAGGCATAATTTTGATTTGTACCATGTATGTTTAGTTTTTCATTACTCAGACACTGATAAAAGTTAATTATCAATTGTAAATAATTAAAGAATGAAACATTTTTGTTTGTTGGATGTTTTCATTTCAGTTATTTCAAAGATAACTAATACAACCTAACTATAATTAATACAATTATATTGGATTTTTCAATAATGCACCCTCTACTTTTAAAATGAAGATGTTCACTAGTTAATTTTGGAGATTTATTTTGATTTATTATTTTATTATTATTACTATAATTTTTTTTTACGAGGGTATTTCAACTATGAGGTTATATGAACCCTCGGGGTGTTGATGTTTTTGAAAAAAAGCACATTTATTAGTATGTTGGATTCTGGTTTCTTTAAAAAACAAAAATATTGATAGTACAACCTGTCTTGCAAAAATTATGACCATAAAATGAACTAATTTAATTTTTTTTCTGGTTTCTTTAAAAACATATTAAATTTGTTCATTTCTTTATTATCATACTTTTTGCAAGACAGGTTGTTCTGTCAATATTACTTATTTTGTAAAAGTAAAATTTGGCAGCATGAGCAAATCATCAATCACTTTAACTCAAAACTTGGCTGACCTGCGGTCCGGGGAATCCATTATTTGGCCATCCAAAGGGCCTTCCTTCCATGTCCAAAAAGGTATATTCCTGTTCTATTCCAAACCAAGGCTTTTCAGCCGCAGCAGCACGCATTGCTTCTAGACAGGAATGCCTTTTGTTCGTCGCTATAATAAAATATTGTCAAATCAATCACTAACCTTAATTAGCCAAACAATTCATGTTTACCTGTTGGTTTCTTATCATATCTAAATGTTTCACACAGAACAAGTTTATTGTTTCCTAGTCTAAATGGGTCTTTGAACATTGCAACTGGTTGAAGGTAGGTATCACTATTATGTCCTTCAGACTGATAGGTAGAACTACCATCGTAGTTCCATTCCGGTAATTCTGAAAAAAAAAAAACACATGCTGCAGTTCAATGAAATGAGTCTCTAGTTGAAAAATACCATATATGACAAAGGCCTTGAGGAACGCCAGTAGTTATGTTTCACAGGATGTACTTAATAGTTATAAAGGGGTCCATGGGAAATTGCCCCTTTACAACAATTACCATAACCTCAATTTGACTCATACAACAATGGGCTTGTTCAACTGTACCCAAAAGTATTTTTGTCACAAATTAACTTAATGAAGGACAATATTTTCAAAATTACACCATTTCCATTAAAACTAATTTAAGTAATAATACTAATGTTGTTTAAATTCCAACCCAGGTTTTTCACAAATAATCCCAATTTATAACATATTTCAGTTGTTTTCAAAACTTGTTTATTAAATATCAAATGCTTTTTGAAAGTAGAAAATAACTATTTAATTTGTTATGAGGTCTGTTTTCAATAACATCTCCAGGGCAGGGGTCGGTGTAGTTCTAATGGTCCTGCGATACATAGGCACACCTTGTTTGACTCTTTCTACTACTGAATGCAGTTTCTTTTTTTTTCTTTTAACTGCAAAATCACGTGCTAGGGAGAAGGATAGGGATAAAAGAAACAGCCACAAGGCCTTCTGCACCTCGACTTGAATAGATCTATTGTGCTCCTATATTTTTATCTCACTGGCCAGCTTCAGGTTATTAATCAACCTCCATAGCCTTGCCAGCTCCATAGAGTAGGATCTTTTTTACAGCTTTTCCTCTCCTGGTTCCAAGAATCTGCACCTATACAGACAGTCACAAAAACATAAAACGTGTTTTGTGGGCTCTTCTTCCTGGCAGTATCAGCACAGTGTTTCTTCAGTCTGTATTCCTGTCCGATGCATATCACTTCTTAGGTGGCAAGAGTCCAATCAGAATCCTGATAGTTTGTAGTTACCCTCCAGGATTGCATAAGTCTTTATGAATCTCTTCGTGTGCCTAGTGTATTGTTCCACCAGGATTTGGACTCATTAAGGATTCATTTTGGATGGTTCCTTTTTTTGTGGCAAGATGGCTGGTTGGTTCATATTGGCTCTTTTTTGGTCACGCCCACTTTCTCATAGCCTCTATGTTCTGAATGTCCAGGACTCACGGTAGGGTCAGGTCATTAGTGTCACTGACTTTCGCCAGGGTATCCATACAGTTCCATATGCTTTTTGTCTTTACCTCGCATGAGGCTAAGGACTAAGCGCTGTCTGACTGTCAGAGAAGATGTCACTAGCCTTTCTATTTCTCTGGCGCAGTGTTCAATTGCTATAATTTCTGACTGGAAAATTGTAGCGTATTTACCTAAGTTTAAAGTTAGTTCGGTCTTTGGATTCATTCTGGGTGCTTCAGCTCCAAATCGCACCCCAGCTTATTGAGAAATATAGAAATTTTAACGTTCATTTTTGAGCTTTTTCCAAGCTCTTTCACCTACCCTGGGAGATTTAGGTTTTTGTAGCTTTTTCGAGGCGTTGGTCCCATGTTACCTTTTGGTCGATGGTGACCCCAAGGATTCCATTAATTTCCGTAAAGAAATGGCTAACTACCTGACTGCAAGAACCTGGCATCATATGACAAATATCCTTCTCGGAGACCGCGGCGTTGATAGAGTAGACATTCTCGGCTCGTAGAGCACTCAGTCGTGGGTTCGATTCCCAAAGTCCCTCCTGAAATTTTCTTTTACAGAAAAAAAGCTACTTCTAGCTACATTCCATCGTGGACAGTGCAATCTCCTATTAAATTGATGTCTTATTAAATTGATTAAACTCGAGGATTTAGAATTATTTGTAACTTTAATTATTCAGAAATCGTGAGATGCGGTCTGGTGTGATGTAGGTTTCAGAAAAACATTTTCTTTAACTTTATATTAGTATTTGTAACGTTGTCGTAAAAAGGCGAAAAGTTTGTTTTTGTCTTGGTCATTTTTATCATCAACTCGTTAAGTTTTGAGGTATTTTTTCAGTATAAAATTAATAATGTCATGTCGAACAGCAAAACAGCAAAAACCAGACTACAAGTTTCAAGAACATCTTTGGAAAAAAACTGGATAAATCTACAAAACACAATTAGCTTGTACATATTCATTTATGTCAAAAATTCTTTTAAGCATATTATATTGCTGTTTTAAGTTTGTGCGTGATGAATTCTCATATTGACAGTGCCACGAGAATGCTCATTAAGACATTGCAACGATTAATGTGTTTGTTGAATTCATGATTGCATCCATCGTGGTTCCTTCGGTCAGAACAAGCGTCTGGACAGCAACCAAATGCATAACTTCATACAAGTGTAAGTATCTATTATTAGTAAGCTCTGTTAACTTTGACCTACTCCAGGTTGTGAAGGACTTTCGTCCCCAGAATAGTGGAGGCCAATAACCAAACGACGTGTACGACTCGAATGTTTGTAAACAAAAATCAACAATACGACGCTATTGTTGAAAGAGCTATCTTTAACAAAACCAATTATATTTTAAACTATAAACAATGGTCAAATTCGAAGTAGGCCGTGAAAATATAAAAAATATATTAATTAGTAAAAACTTAAGATTTATAGGACTGAATAAATAATAATATAAAACTTAGGTTACTTTACTTAGGTTTTTACTCTTACAGGGGTTTGATTAATAATAAAGCATTTAAAACTTATAACAAACAATAGACTTTGTACTGGATTTTTTCTTGCTCAAATGCATGACAAACGTCATTCTCAATTGAATTTGAAAATATCAATAGTAAGGCTATTAACAACGAAAACGTCTTGTTCCACATAGCTTCGTTTGATGAGAAAAGTTGTAACTTAAATATATGACCTGGATTTGTCTATGGTTTTTTATTGTATTTTATTAGTTATTATCAGTGTCTACTGGGGACAGAGGAGAAAATATCAAATCTGGAGCCGAAAAACTTCACTCTATCACAATAAAAAGGCAATCAAAATTTTTTACATTATCTTAATCCTCATTTAAACAATGTTTTTGCTCGTGTTTTTAGAAACTTTGATAGGTTGTATAATGATTAACTTGTTTTAATTCTAACTAGTTCTAGACGCATCAGTTAGAAGGACGTTGATTTCCTTGAGTCGCTGCCCTCGGTGCTTGGTTCTTTGATTTTTTGTATATTTGAGATAAAATAAATCTCCGCTTTATTCTCTCATAGAAGAATCCGAAAATTGACGAAAACCGCAATTAACTGAGCCAGTCTTTTGCAAAATATAATTTCCTTTAATGGTGTATTCTTGCGTGAGCGAAGTTTCCTTTGCGTTCCTTATAGTTATACGAGTTCGATTTTATACGATAAGCATCCGTTAATACAATTCTTGCGTTTAACCGTGGAAAAAGGAATAACTTAGGGCTTACACCAGTTGTTTGATCGGTATTTTCTGAGGTTTTTGGTCGAATTTTGTTTTATGGACAGTCCCAACTGACCACGAAATCAAATAATCGCTTTCCAAATATTCTTATTTATAATATAGGAGTTTTATTTTTTTACGCCGACAAACCGCTTAGGTCATCGCCGGCCCTGTTTTCCTTCTTTTTCTGGTCTTTCACGTGTATTTAGTTTGAAATTGGAGCCAGTTGAACGTTTTGATCTGGTTACTGAGTCTCTTCTTTTATATGCATATATATACGTCTATATCCTGAAATGTGACTCGTTTGTTGTCAACTATAGAATAGACCAAAAACATGCAATACCTATTTATACACTATCTGATAAACATACAAGTCTGGTCACATTCATTCCCTCAGAGTCTCGATATTCCGAGGCGGGGTTGAACCCGCTTCATTCTCGTTAATTACTTACTAAATTATTTAAATTGATTTATATTTTTTAAATAAAGTGTGGTTGGAATGAAAAATTAACGTCACGATCGGGATTCAAACCCTCGACCTCCCGGCCTATACCCCGACTCTTTAACCACTTGAACTATCATGATTTCGGTCCCCTGAGACACCAACTCATCATTTCAACCTACAACTTTTCCAAATTTCCTTCTTTTTGGGAAATATTCAAATTTAGATTAGATTCGATTCTGGGCGATCATTAAGTGGCCGCGGGGAGCTGTTAGTGAAGTGTAGGTCCTTCAGTAATTATTATATTAATGTACGTATGTTTTTTTGTTGACCTAATTAATCAAAATGATTGTTTAAATTGATTTCATCCAACACACTTTACATAAAAATTATTATTTTAATAATGCTTATTATTAATTTAATAATATTATAGAGCTCACGTGGCCCTCGTCATTTGAGGTTAAGATGGATTGAGAAGTTGATGTTAAAGTTGATTAAGGGGTAATGGATCAGGGGTTTGGAGAATTCTTCTAAGGACTTTTGGATTAGAAAGTTTGGATTGTCGGACGTTAGATGGCTTCGTGGTACTCCACAGTGCCGCTCCGTATATCCAAAGTGATGTTACAGACAACGAGTTAGTTTATTCTTTACCGTCATTTCTGTTTTCGGTCCACTAAAGCCTTCGTAGTTGTCCATATCGTCTGTTTAGTTCGTGTCGCTTGAGCCTTGTGTGAAGATTCCACGTCAGTCTACTGTCTAAGTACAGCCATAAGTATTTTACTTGTGCAGATGTTGGTAGTTCTTCATTATTAATTATAGACGTGGGCAAGGCTGTTTGTTTACCTTAAACGTTATTTGGATACATTTGTCCTCTTTAAGCTTCATTTTCCACTTTTTTCACCATTCTTCAATGAGCTCAAGATGTTACTGAGTATTAGAGATAGCTTGAGTAGGACTACAGTTGGGAGATAAAATAGCAGTATCATCTGCATAGGTTGTAAGGATAGATCATAAAAATTAAAAATAAATTTAAATAATCACTTTGGTTAATTAGGACCAATTAAAAAAATATAGATCAATGTAATAAATTACGCCATATTCCTAATTGACCGTATTAATTATTTTAATCAATTATACTTTTTATCTAAGGTCCTAGGTTGAGATGAAAATGTTAGTGTCACGAGCGGGATTTGAACTCACGACCTTCGGCTCAATACGCCGCTGCTCTAAACAATTGAGCTATCCTTCGATACCATCTCCCCAAAATACGGCAAAAAGCGGAAAATTCGAAAGGTTGTTGGATCGAAGTCACGATAGCTCAAATGATTAGAGCAGAAACACACTCAAACGCTATTCGTTTAAATAACCCTATAACTTGAGGTACCCGAACATCTATGCCCGCTGCCGTGCTCATGACTATGCAGAGGTCTGACAATTTGCCAAAATATTGCCTACATTATTCACCTTTTACAATTAAAAAGGTGTTCTTTTTACCCTAGCGTAACGAAAGGATTTAACCAATTATTATAATAATGGTTAACTTTTAAGTTTTAAGCTGGCTAAGGCTTTGAATTAGTTGAATGGGTCAATCTATCCACGATTTCTTTTATTGTACATGATTCATACAAAATATTCGTTGGCTTATCGACCGTAAACATGATATAAAATTGCCAAAGCCACGGACTATTTACCCTGCAAAAAACCGTTTCTAGGAAAAATGTTATTACAATTGTAATAAAAAATCGAGGTCGATTTAAATTATTTCCGATCTCTTTTGATTGAGGATAGTCGTGATTTATTGAGGCCATAAATAATAGGTATTTGAAAAGTTGGCCATAGACCGTATATTTTTGTTTATCCTTCCCCTCGTTTGAGAAAGTCAGGAAACGGGAAAAAATAAATTGAATTATTTTAGAGAGAGATTAGCTTGATCAACTTACGGCTGACGTCTGTTGGCACGAAGTTTAAAGTGCGGGTTTTCGCCCTGAGATGTTCACCCGTTCCGTCGACCCAGACGTACATCGCTTGAACCGTGTTGTCCGGCTGTGGAAGTTGCAAAAACCTATTGAGAACGGTTTTGTTCATTTTCAAATTGGGCGAGTTTTCTAACACCATCTTCCTGAAAAATAAATATGTCAACATTTTCAATTTGAACTCAAAAAATAAAAATAAATTTAAAAAATTATCTGTTCATTTCAATTATTATAATGTAAGTCAATTTCCACATTTCGCTTATTTGTATCGTTACCGGTTTTTATTCATAACCAATGTTGGTTTTATCTGTTTTTTTTCCTTCATATTTTTCCTCCTTTATTCTTATTAATTCATATATGTTTAGCGGTCATAATTGACCATATAATTATTTCAATTAACACCAATTGCTATCAAGACCTTAGTAGATATTTTTTCTATTCAGTTTATGCTTTCTTAATATTAATAATTTAATTTAATTTTTTTTTCTCACCCGACCGGCAAACTAGGGTCATTGCCGGCACCACACGTATATAAGCTTCTCGCATTTTTCTTTGTTTCATTTCCACTTTATCTCTATCTCATTCACTATGTCTCTTCTTTTAATTTTGTTTCCTACCGACCAAACAGAGGAGTGTCTTTTTGCTCGTTCCTACCATCCCACACGTGGTTTGTTCAAAATACTTCAATATTTACAGACTCACTAACAATAACCACTCACGCTAAGAAAATGATTACCTAATCTACAGTTGGCACGACTGAGGTTCTGCCCCTACAACTAAATAAAAAGTCGGTAGGATAGTCATAATCCTACCGACTTCCTTCCACTCGTGCTGATAAATACATTCATACAGAATTTCATTCATCCATTTAACTAATTACCTTTTGACGGGCTTGTCGAGTACTCGATATTCCTCGACATCCACGTCCATTTACACAAAACATTCACGCTAATAAATACATTCATATTGGAGAGGTCGCAGCATCTCGTTAGTATTACTACAACCTTGATAGTGTGACCTGTCCCTCACATCACACAACAAATATATAATTACCTAAACTAATTTGGAGGGCCTGTGAGCTACTCGATATTCAGTCACAGCCACACCCAGACATACCTCATCACCCACGCTAATAAATACATTCACACTGCAAAATGGAGATATACCACGTGTGGTAAGTTAAATAACTTCAACTGCGGATTCCTTTTTTAAAAACTTTATTTGAAGTTACAAGAACAAGTTTTAACCTAATTTAACGATGTACTCTCGTCAAGCTCTAGGCAAGGAATCGTTATTAAAAATACAGAATTAAATAAGTAGGTCTCTTGGGAGGGAGAAGGTGCTGACTACAATACCAGGAATGACACCTGCATCTAAGCGTTGTAAACAGATAATTTCACATAACTTGTATCCATACGTATTTATCAATTTTAAGTACCTAATAAGATTATCTTTGAAGTCAGTGTTATGCTTAAGAACTATTTCCAGATTAGATGGTAGGTCACACCGTTCTCGGTACTCTCTTAACTCGTTACATTCCTCTAATAGGTGTCTCACCGTTACCGGGTTTCCACAGAGTGGGCAGCGTTTTTGACTTCTACCCACTAAGAGGTGACCGTGCGTGAGACGGGTGTGACCTATTCGCAACCTTGTAATATTATTTTGTTACGTTTTTCCAAATTCTCCAAGGGCCATGGCCTCACCGTACTTTTATGTATTTTTAGTTTTTCATTACTTTCGTTCCAGCGAGCCTAGTTAGTTGTTCTTTTTATTGTTATAATTTTTAGCCGCAATCTACGTTTATATTAAGTCCCCATTATACAAATATTCTTTTTTCTCTTTTTTGTTCTTTCTGCAACGGCCTCCGACAAACGAACTTTTTTGTTTTTTGAATTTTATTTAATATGAAATTTCTTCAGCATAACTTTCCATCACATTCTCAACAAAATTCAAATTCATTAATTTTGAAACAGGAGGGACCAAATAAAATTCTAGTTGAATGAATTTATTTATATTGTATAAATTAAAATATTAATTTATACAATAATTTATGAGTAAAAAGTAAATGAGCATCAATTGTTATTTATATATTAAAAAAATATTATTTTTGATGTAATAATTTCAATGTTGGTTAACACAAAAACAAAATTTTCTACGACGCAGAATATTATAATTTGGTATTATGAAAAAGATAAATCAACACAAAACTCCTTTTTTTTGCATATTTTAAACAACATTCTGTAAGCACAAGTAGGTCAGAAAATGGTCAAAATTTAGGTACGACCACAATGTCGTGTCTATACCGTTATAAAACCCTTAGATACCGACTTTCGCGGAAATCGGTGTAAATTAATTTTTTGACTGATAATTTCGACGATCTGCGTGACTGATATTCATAGTGGAAGCTCTAACATCATTTTTCTCAAAACCTAGGAGACTGATTTACATGGTTGATAATTCTTTTTTTTTAAATAGTCAAGTGCATTTTATAACTGTAACAATAATTAAAATCGGACTACTATTTCCATTTAAACAAACGTGGTTAATTTTGGACAAATAATTTTCCTATGTTGTGTATTTTCTTACTGAACTCTATTATATATTTCTATGGTACACACGTCGTTAAAAAGGTACATTCCTCTTCTTTCAATTGGTGTTAGTCGTTAAAATCCTTTTAGCCCTTTTTGAATTATGGCCGTTTCAATCAGATATTCCGATGTCTTCTTAAAAATCGGAAAGATTTTAGGGGTAAAAAAAAGATAAATTTAAATTTTAGGATCTATAGAGTGGTAAAACTAAATTTCATATTAGTTTAACGAAAAAATTATGACCTAGTTTACCGGGAAAATATTCGGTTTTTATAAATTGTTTGGCTGTTAATAAACTTTGATAGCTTTTCTATAGTTTTTGCAAGCTACATAAAAAATTGTGTAAAATGATATTTTAGGAGCCAAATAATCGATAAATTTAAATCCAAACAAAAATTTATATCGTGAGGCGTTAAAACGACCATATTAGTTTTAAGGGAAAAAAATATTATAACCTAGTTTACTTAAAAAAATTGGTTTTTAGAAATTTTTTGGTTATTGATAAATTTTGATATTTTTACATATTTTTTGCAATCTACATAAAAATTCAGTAAAATGACATTTTAGGAACCAAATAATCGACAAATTTAAATCCAAACAAAAATTTATATCTAGGCGTTAAAACGATCATGTTTTAAGGGAAAAAATGTTATAACCTAGTTTACTTGAAAAAATTGGTTTTTAGAAATTTTTTGGTTACTGATAAATTTTGATAGCTTTTCTATATTTTTTGCAATCTACATAAAAAATTCTGTAAGATGATAATATATCCACATAGTTGATTTGAGCCAGTATAACGGCGAAATAAAAATATTTAAAAAAACGGTAAATTTCCACTTTCAAAATTTTTTTTGGCAAAATCAGGGCCTATCCACAAAAATTCGCGGATACGTGTCCGATATTTTGGAGTATAGAATCGCCAAAAAAAAGTTTGGTCCAAATCCATGACACACCAACCTGGTCGTCCTCTTGTAAGTACTGTCACGGGGAAAGGCATTTATTATATGTCGGCTTTAAAACGACTCTCTCGTTTCATTTACATCTTATTTTTTTACGAGTTTGTCACCAAGGACGTAAATGGCCAAACAAGAATTTTTATCGATTGGATAACAGGTATTCGTGAGTTGGAACTGAGGACATCATCGATTCTTCAACCAGGTTATTCAATTATTAACAACTAAACGTTGACTGATATGAATTAAACAACATCTAACTTCAGATACTTTCATGCGCTATTAAGCCTAACCCTATTTCCTTTTACTCTAGACGGTTCTCTTTGAGTGTCTTGTCTCGGAATGTTCCACTATCCATTGTTATCGCTATCAAGAATACAACGAATTTTGTCCATTAATTGAAATTTTGACTAAACGTCTTTGTTCGAAACACAAGTTTAATTCACGTAGTCTAAATATTTTTACGTGACTTGATTATTTATCTTAAAAGTTAGTTAAAATTGTACCTATAAAAATACCATAATTAACCCTAGGGTTTTTTTTAAACTTGTTACATAGTTAATTTTAGATTGTAGGTCATAATTGGTATTGAAAACTAGAAAGAATGATTAACCCCTCTTACAGATAAATTCTGACGCATAGCAGAAACTTCCTTTAAAAGCAGATCAGTTCTTTCCTATCGTATGTAATAACATGCCATTTTAATTAAATAACTGTTGAACTGAACTGAGATTTGTTGAAGATGAATCTTAATTTACTATCGATTCGCCCCACAGCCCTAAAAACCTAGTTTCAACCAACTGGGCGCACTGCTTTTACAAGTATCAACTATTTCATAGCTTTACACATAGCTAACTCTTTTATTGTTCAAATTTCTTATCGGATTTTCGCGACTTCTTGGAAACCGTCAAACCAATTTTAAAGGCTAGGGATAACTAGAAAGCTATACATATTCACCAGAACGTGATACGCGGAATACGTTTGTTCCCTGGCAAAAGGTCGTTTCCTCAACCGCTTTGGCTCCGTTTCAGCTCTTCCAATTGCTACGGAATTTTGAGTGTGTCGACTCGTTATAAAAATAAACAAATGTTGACCTTGCTGAGTAAAATAAAAATAATATCATTATGTTTTCAAAAGGTTACGCAAGCACCTTGGCTTGAAATTCAAAGAGACTAGAGAACGGTACACACAGTACACAATAGTATTTTGCATATAGCAACCGACGACCTGAGCTCGATAAGATTTAGATTAACCAGACTTCATTCTCAGCTTTGCTTGTTTAAACATATTATTTGTTAAATTGTTCATAAATTTTCATTTATATATATTTTTTCTTCATTTATTTTCATCTCTAACTGTACGTATATTATATACAACGAACAGTTTGGATTTCAATTTGTGATTGTGACCTTTTGGGCGTTATAGAGAAAGCTAGCCATTGGAATTCTGGATTAATAACATATTAATCATCCAAGAGGTCTCTTATCCACATTCTTTTCAGTCGGCTACGTGCTAATTGTAGGGATTAGATTATTCTGATTTGCGTGTAAGTGTGATCTTGTAAGTTGTAATTTACTGTGAAAACATCTGTACCATGTTTTGATG